CCCCAAAACTCAGCAACAGCCTGTGCACGCAGGTGTCATGTTCCAAGCACCCAGCTGCACCTGTACCCGAGCCCCCTCACACCTGCTCGTCCTCGTCAGCGGCCTCCACTGCGGCGTCAAAGCGCTCCACCACCCTGTGCTCCAGCTGGCTGCAGTACGACTCCAGCATCTGGCGGGAATCGGTCGCAAATGCGCCGGGCTTTTCAAGCTGCGTGCGACAGGTTATACTTCCTATCATATGCGACAGACGATACGTCGGCTGCTGCACGCACGCCTTGCAATGCAGCCACGCCATCGACATACCTGGGTAGACACCCACACCGCCGGACGCCGCGCCCACGTGTTCGGCCTCCGCCCTTTGCCCACCTTGGCTGTGTGCTCGACGCTGCCGATGCCGCCCGTGCTGCCGGGCGTGAAGCGGGCCTGCAGACCCTCGCGCTGCTTGGTGCGCGCCTTGGCGCCCGCCACCTCCCCCACCAGCAGCGACAGGCGGCGGCTCACGGCCTGCGGGGACAGGCAGGCGGGCGCTTAGCGATGGGAGCTGCCATTGTTGCCGTGACCTGCTCTTGCCATGCAACCGCCATGCTGCCTTGCAAGCTCACAACCTTAGCAGCAGGCATAGCAGCAGGCATCGTTGCACCCCTGCCAAAGGCGCGTGCATACACACACACACACACACACACACACACATCCTCTCTCTCTCTCTCTCCCTCTCTCTCTCTCTCTCTCTCTCTTGCAATCTCTTGAACATCAAACCACCCACCGCCGCCTCTGCCATGGTGGCGTCGTCCGTGAAGATGCGTGGCAGCTTCTCCAAGTCGAGGGCGCTCGGCAGACAGGAGAACGCCTGCAGGTACCCCATCAGCTCAAGCGCCTCCATGCAGCGCACCCGCATCGCCTCGGCCGTCTGCAGCAGTAATGGAGCACAAGGTGGCCGGCCGCGGCAGGGCGGTGAGAGGCGAGCTGTGTGCGTTTGACCATGCCGATGGCCTTGACCACTCAGCCTCTTCTGGCGCAAGGGCTCGCACCATGGCGCCAAGCGAGGAGTACGTTGCTGTGGCAACAAAGCCCTCATTCGATGCGCCGCCGCCGTCCCCCGCCGAGAGAATCTGCGTGCGCACCTGCAGCCTGTCCCCTATGCGCGTGGCCGTCTGCGAGACGCGCGAGACGCGGGCGTCGATGTCCCTCACGCCCGCCTTGATCCTCTCAACGCAGCGCTCCAGGGCCGCCACGTCCGCCTGCAGCAGTGGGGCAGAATGATGAGCGGGGCGCCGCAGCCTAATCAGCGCGCGAGGGGGAAGCCACGGAGTACAGCCGCTGGCCTGACCATATCGGCCGTGGACGTATAGTAGTCGTCCCAATCGCGCTCCCACGGACTGAAACTGTGCCACTTCCGGCGCAGGCCCGCTACTGCGGGGCCCGTCCGATCTTGCACCCCCGCACAGCGCGGCGCCTGGTCCCCCGCAAGGGCGCCGCCGCTCGGAGTTGGCGTGGCGCGGCGTGGCGCGGCGCGGCACGGCGCACCCTGTACTGCGCCTCGTCGCTGCTGCCAACTTCCTGCAGCTCCTGCACCTGCTCCGCATACAGCCCGTGCAGCGTCGATACCTCGCTCTCGGCCCTGGCGTTTGCGAGCGGTGCGAGTGCACGTCTTTCGATATGCGTCAGTCCGTGGTGTGTGTGTGTGTGTGTGTGTGTGTGTGTGTGTGTGTGTGTGTGTACGCTCGTACACGGGTGTGTATATCAGCATGCATACGCATGGTATGCATGCATATGCCTGTTAAATGCACGCTGCCGCAAATGGATTGCTTGAAAACAGGGCACCAGCAGCAGGTGCGTCGACGCAGCACATGGACGTCACAAAGCGCCGCACCTTTCAAGGACGCCGAGCAGCCGCTGCACACGCTGCACCTGCTCATTGGCTGATAATGCATCCTTCCCTGCTGCGAACGGCCCCGCGCTCTTGCTTGGCCCGATCACATCCTTGGTGAGAGACACCAGGAACGAGTCGACGCTGAATTTTGTGTTATGGAAGGTAGCGGGATCTATGAGAGTGAAATCTAGGTCAGGTTCGTTCATGGATCACTGCCCCAGCCCTCGTCCCGCGCCAGCGTGCTGCTCGCCCAGGCTGCGCCGTATATCTGGCACTTATTAACGATATGATCAGTTCTAGTCCCGATCTCGACGAGGTAAAGCACTGACGGCGCAGTGGGAGCGCGGCGGTGTGCCTGCGGTGGACCAGCAAGTGCACCAGCAAACATGTAGAGCGGCATGTGCATGTGTATACATGTTTAATGCAGGCCAATTAAGCCAAATAGGTAGTGCTTGTGGCCACCTCAAATCATGCCATGAATTGAACCGTGCTGGCAGGGAAACAGGTGCCTGACCGCTTCCCGCTCGGTCAAGAGCGAGTTCTGAGTGCACAAGCGCTTTGTTTGATGACTGATGATGTCGTCAAAATTGCCTTTAACCGAGCCACTGTTGGCATCAAGCACGTGCACCTGCAATTCTGATGAATGGCAAACATCGAGGATGGCGCCTCGTGGGACGAGCGCTGATAGGATGCAAGGCTGAAGGCAGCATGTGGGCCGCGGCCAAGGGCTGTGTGGGTGGACATCAGGGAGGCGTGGCGCGGCCCCCTGCCCCCGCCCTCAGGGCTGCTGGAACCCATCACTGCCAAGCAGGTGCGCGAGCAGCTCCGGGCGAAAGCCGAGAGGGTGGTGCTGAAGAGCTTTGATGAGGCCCGCCAGCGCTTTGCGAACGGCCCAATCGAGATTGAGGTCAAGGTTCCAGGTAAATGAAAGGGAGCAGGGCCCCAGTGTGCGGGCTGAGCTTGTCAACGGCGGCCTCAAGGTGCGGCTTAGGTTGGCTGGTCGCCTCAGCATGTGGTCTCTGCACAAGTTCATGCTCAACACCATCCTGCAGGTGTGCGCTTCAAGCTGCATCACGTCGTGCGCTCAAAGCGCTGGTCATCAGAAGCCATCAGCTTCTCGCTGGCTTTGTTGCTGGCGCGCAGCCGCCCGCCATCCGCGCGACGAGATTGCCGGCTTAGTCACTCAATGCATGACCGGGCTCCCACCACCACTGCCAGGGGCTGCCAATCAACGTCGTGGCAATGTGCACCACAAGCAGTGGCGCGAAGCACCTGGCGTGCTTGTACCTTCTGCAGTACATATACAGCCCCGCCAAGATCCGCAACTTCAGCCTGCGCGAGTACATCCCTCCATCCCCGGGACCTGGGGGTCTCTGACGCGAATGCCAGTGGCGGGGCGCACCGGGGTCAGCAGGGAGCGCAAACAGGTTGCGCGGGGTGTTTGGTTGCGTCGGGCGGGGTCTGAAAATCCAAACTGTGGCCCTCCCCCCTCCCCGCATGAAATTGTGTGCAGTGACTTGTGCACACAAAGCGTCTGCAAGGGGCTCAATAGCATACATGATGCGGAAAATTAGCATTGAGCAAACCTTAGGTCTGCTGGGATTGGCGCGTGCTTGTGATGATGCAAGCAGCAGAGCACCAGTCACGCTGGTCTTCGCAGTCAAAGATTAGCGGCCCCGTTTGGCCCTCAGCATTAACACTGGCAGCATATCAACTGATTAGACTCATTGCATGTTTCAAAATGGCGTGCGATATTCGTAAATGGCTTCGTGGGCCTGACAACCGTCCTTGCCAGCTCTGGCCCAGCGTGCAGCCTCTCCTCGCAGCGACACCGTACGGCATGGAGCTATCCATCAAAATCCATATTGTTATGTATCGGTCTCGAGCATGCCTCGTGGTGCTGCTGTGCTCCTTGCGCAGGTCCGTGACACTCGCAGGCTGCCGTGTTGCGGACGGCAAATAACTCCGTGTGGTGTGCAGCTGAGTGAAGCAGCATTGCGTGTGGGGGTCTGTGCTGGATGCCCTGAACACATCCATTGCTGGGGAAAGGGGATGCTGCTGTGCTGTGCTGCGTTGCAGCAGAGCACCCCCGTTGTTGCGCGCCTGCTGTGCCCTGGCACGCCGCCCTTGCCCTCCTTCCCGCAGGGCATCCCCACCTGCTGATCC